CAACAAAAATTGAAAAGACAGCCTATGAAATGGGAGAAAATATTTGCAAATGATGCAATAGACAAGGGCTCCATCTCCAAAATATACATACAACTCAACAAAAAACCAAAATACTATAATTCAAAATTTAGCAGAAGACCTTCATAGACATTTCTCCAAAGAAAACATGCAAATGGCCAGTAGACACATAAAATGCTGCTCAACATCACTAATTATTAAATGTATATCAAAGCTATAATGAGGTACTACCTAAAACCAGTCAGAATGGCCATTATTAAAATAACAAATATCATCTACAAATAAATGCTGGAGAAGATGTTGAGAAAAGAGAACCCCCCTACATGTTGATGGGAATATAAGTTGCTACAGCCACTATGGAGAACAGTATGGAGGTTCCTCAGAAAACTGAAAACAGAATGACTATATGATTCAGCAAACCCACTCCTGGGATTATACCTGGTCAAAACTCTAATTCAAAAAAGTACATGCACCCCTATGTTCATAGAGTGCTATTCCCAATAGTCTGAATGTGAAAACAACCTAGATGTCCATCAGCAGATGAATGGATAAAGGAGATGCGGTTTGTATATGAAAGTGTTCGTCACTCAGTCGTGTCCGACTCTTTGCCACCGTATGGGCTGTAGCCTGCCAGGCTCCTCTGACCATGGGGTTTCCCAGGCAAGAATACTGGAGTAGGTTGCCATTCCATTCTCCAGGGAATCTTCCTGAGCCAGGGACCGAATCCAAGTCTCCTGCATTGCAGGCAGTTTCTTTACAAACTGAGTGTTCCGTTTTATATGGGATTCAGTTCTTTCTTGAGGAGTCTTACACACAGCGGAATACTACTCAGCCATAAAAAGAATGAAATAATACCATTTGCAGCAACATGGATGCAACTAAGATGATCATACTAAGTGAAGTAAGTCAGAAAGAAAAAATATATATATCATATAATATCACTTATATGTGGAATCTAAAATATGGCACAAAAAATAAAAATAAAACATGGCACAAATGAACCTGTCTGTGAAACAGAAAAAGAGAGAGCAGACTTGTGGCTGCCGAGGGAAGGGGAAGGGGAAAGGGCTGGAGGGGGAGTTTGGAGTTGATAGACGCCAATGTATTACATTTAGAATGGATAAACAGCAGTGTCCTAAGATATAGCACAGGGACAATGTTTAAATCAACTACACTTCAGTTTAAAAAATTAAACAAGCAAACAAAACCCCAAACCAAAACAAACAAGAATGATTGCTTCTGAGAAATGGGAAGTACTAAGTTGTTCAGTGGGGAGATCAAAGGTGAAGAATAGACTTTTCTGTTATACTCTTCTCTTTCTCCGTGTGTGTGTGTGTGTGTGTGTGTGTGTGTGTGTGTGTGTTAACCACGTGCACATATTTTCATTTCAAAACACACCAAACACAAGGTTGCCCAGAATTGCAAGACTCAGGTGTCTGGGGCACACTCAAGCTCAGCTAGGCTACCTTGTATGCAGTCTCTCTTTAGCAGGCAGGAAATAGATGTACAACTTTCAGAAAATTAAGGTCTACACAGCTCTACTATGCCCTGCCTAGGGAGAGCTGAGGGCCAGAATGAGAGGCAAGGAAAGAGTGATGGGAAAACTGAAAGAGAGATGGGCGTGGTGGTTTGGAAATCAAGAATTTAGCCCCACCTGAGGGCCAGCTCCCAAGGTCAGTATTTAAGTCTCTGTCCCATTCAGGTCTTTCTCAAGGAGGCATTTCAGCCCATTCTCCGCTTGTCTCTTAATTACTCTGACAGCCAATCTACTGATCATTTGGCTTGCCATGTGTCTTGCCCACAGAGAAAACAGGTCCCATTCAGCAGAGGGAAAATTGACTAAGGTGTGATTCTGATCCACGTTGCAGTTCTATTTCTTCTTGTATTTAAATACATTAAAACATGAAATCATTTGTACAGAGACAAGATAATAGTTTTGAAAGAGTTTTCATTTGTTTCCTAGCATTTCCTTCTATTAAGACAGCTAGAGAATTCTCTTGTGTTTCAGTGGTTAAGACCCAGGTCTTTCACGGCCGGGGGTCCAGGTTCAATCCCATCCCTGGTTCTCCAGGTTGGGCCCTGGGACGTGAGCCAGGGCCAAACCCTCAGCTGGGATTATGGAATCCAAAATCAAAAGAGACCTGAGGCCAAGAAACTGGCAGAATCCTGGGGAGGTACCATAATATCAGAGGTTAAATAGTTCTGTGATCTATGCAGGCAGATAGCCTCAGTGTCTAAGCTATCGTGATGGGGCAGCTACAGATTGAGTCTCAGGCATCCAAAGGAAGCAAAGGATTAGTTGAGAGGAACTCACTAGATTTGATGGGTTGAAGAGATGAAAACAAAAGTTGTCTCCATGACAACCTGCATGGACCATTCAGGGAAGAGACTCCTCTCTGACCCCCGTCAGTGGAGACTGGATTTCTTTCAACCATAATGGCTGCCACCAATGCTTTGGAACCATATAATCCATAAAACCAATAAAATTACATAGGCCAGATCAAGTCAGTACTCAGGTAAAACTCCATGTAAGGGAGGAGGCAAGAGTCCAAACTAGCAGAGATTAAGAGTCTGCCATCCTTACGGAATGGTGACTCAGAATAGAAATTTAACTAAGTTACTTAAGAATAAAGTTGGCACGTGTTTTGTGCACCTAAATTTTTGGCCTTAGAGCCATACTCTTTTTTCCATTGGAAAAGACCCTGATGCTGGGAAAGACTGAAGGCAGAAGTAGTAGAGAGCAACAGAGGATGAGACGGTTGGATGGTATCACCGATTCAATGGACATGAACTTGGGCAAACTCTGGGAGACGGTGAGGACCAGGGAGGCCTGGCATGCCCCAGTCCAGCACTTGGTGACTGAACAACAACAAGAGTCACACCCACCATATACATTGTATACCTCAGCCTCCTGTGAGTTTGAGAAGTTGATCCAGAGCTACTTACATGCTGTGTGCTGTTGGAATGTCAAGTTTCCCATCAGTCGAATGGAATAAACATCTTAATGTCCATTGTATGAGCTTAATATGAGACTTCAGTGTGATAATGTATGTGATAACATATATAAGGGGCCAGGCCCAATGTAGATGTTCCAAAAATACTAGTATTTCCATCATCTCAATACTATCACTTCCATCGACATCCACAAAATATTACAATTTCCAAGTTTATAGCTGGTTAGACATTAATTGTGCTTTAGTTTGCCTGCTTCATGATGGCATCTTAATCTCATCAGTAAAATGTCCTCAGATCACATGGATTACTTCTGGGAAGGGTTCCCATGGGCAGTTAGTCCCACCCACAGTGTGTGATTTCCAGTAAGCTTCAATCAAAGGGAGTGTCCCCTCCCTGACCTGAACATGCTGTCATCTCCCAGGCCTTTCGCCACGATCAGCGCAAAGTCCATCTCTTGGCATTCTAGTTTCCTGTCCCTCATACATAAGATAAGCCACGGCCTGCTGGTTCAGGTCCAAGAAAGATGAGCTGCACCATTGCTCAACATCTTTTCCTGGAGCCAGGTAAGGAAGAGGGAAGAACATCAGTGCAGGCCCTCCATAGACATTATTTTAATAATCCAGGTTTTCTATCATCATCATTTCATTGACAAAAAACTAAGGTCCAGAGAGACTAGGTGATTTCCCTGCTAACCAAGAATGAGTAAGTGATAGAACAGAACCTGAAGCTAAATATGGAAGGCTCCAAAGTTCGTGCTCATCCCATCACATAACCAGCCATGGAAGGAAGGACATGAAGGACAACTATGATTTGTATGAGAATGATGGTTGATTGGAGTATGTGGCCAGCAATTAGAGATATCTGCAGCCGTTGCTAAAACACATGTATGTATTTGTTGATGTTGTTTTGTCACTCAGTCGTGTCCGACTCTTTTTGTGACTCCATGGACTGTAGCCCACTAGGCGTCTCTGTCCATGAGATTCTCCAGGCAAGAATACCAGGATGTGTTGCCATGCCCTCCTCCAGTGGGTCTTCCTGACCCAGGGATCGAACCCATTATCTCTTGCATCTCCTCCTTTGCAGGTGGATTCTTTACTGCAGAGTCACCAGGGAAGCCTATATGTGCTTAGATAGTAGCACTTAAACTGAGGGAAAGAGAAAGAGAGAGAGAGAGAGCATTCAAACATCTTTCGTTAGAACTAAAGTTAGAACTTGGGTTGACCTATCTCTGTAGTAGCAACAGTAATGGTAACAATGCTTCATATATGTACAGTACTCAGCTCTTCTAAGTACGTTTACATCCATCTGACTCTTAGAACATTCCTGGTAAGACATGCAGGAAAAGCCTTGCTATGCCCCTGAGAAATAAAAGAGGCATGAACCTGTTGCATCTTCCCTAGCAATCTCGGAAGCACAGAGCTGAAGTATGTGTGGGTACTCCAGGTGATGACTGAAGATGTGGGGAGGTGTGACCTCTTTTTTGTTGGTGGAGTAGAGAATAAGATGTGCCAGTCAGGGCCTCAGCAGGAAGCAGATGACATGGTTCAATTGCTCAGGGTGCAGGGAAACCGCAGACAAGGGACAGTTCTCTAGTTTGCATCACTGAGGACCCACACCCACATAAGACTGAAAGGCAAGAGGAGGATGTGGTTATTAAATAGGAAGAGAGAATACTCTGTGCAGAGAGACCAGTTGACCAGAGCTCTGGCCTTCAGCCAAGGGGCCCAGCCAGCCTGCAGTGACCCCACAAGGAGGGGTCCAGGAAATTATATACCTTGATTTTAATCCACCCCCCGCTTACCTCTGATCACCTGCTGGTACTTCCTGTTGGCCAAATCCAACTGGAAGTCAGAGATAAGGATACCGACTGATGTGGTCAAAACAGTTCGGCCTCAAGAGGCACAGAACAAGGAGCAAAGGGGTAGAGTGAATCTGGAGGAGTAAGTGGAAGATAGCCTGTACATGAAGTTTCCTGCTAAGGGTAAGGGGCCACACTAGAACTGCATATCAGTAAGACGTCAGCTTACCTGAGATGATGAAACAATAAAGAGGAATTACTGGACAGGTGACAGGCTCAATCAGAAGGCTGGCTATCTGTGAGGGTGTAAGATCTGACCTTGTCAGTGTGACGATTGTGTACTCAGGCTGCCTTGCCACGTGGCAGCAAAATCACTGCAGCAGTTCCTGGCACTGCTTCTGCACACCATGTTTGCTGGAGAAACAGAGGGCCCATGTTTCAGAATTTCCAGTAAAAGTCCTGAAACTTATTCTGATTGGACTATCTTAGGTCATATAATCAATTGTGAGCCAAACGTTATGGCTGGAATGTGGAATGTATCAACCTGCTTCGCTTAGGTTAAGTGCTTCATCCCTAGATACAGGAAGGGAATGGCTTCCCATAAACCACATAGATTCTGGAAAAAAAATTAGAATTTTGTGGGATGTTTGGAGGGGCCACTAAGAACTGCCACTGTGAAAAAAGAGAGATGCCAACTGAGTCTAAAGAATGTTTTAGTCCAAACTGTAATTAATCAACAAAAGCCTAACATGGACCAAATGGACAGCAGTTGGGGGGAAGGGAGGCAGTGGTATTTATTTCATTCAATGAAACACAATGAGTCCATCAACTGTTGGTGTGGTGGCTCACTGATTTTCTTTGGAACTTGAATTCCCTTCTCATGATTATTACCTCATGGTCAAAAAACGGCTGCTGTACTTCCAGGCATCTGATACATGTTCAATGCAGAAAAAAGAAAGGAGGAAAAGATGGTCTAAAGGAAAAAATAGTTGTCCTCAAGAGCATTTCCTATTTGCAGAGGGAAACCCTTTACTTCATTGGCCAAAACTTTGCTATGTGGCCACCTCTTAGCAGCAAAGGAGTCTGGGAAATAGAGGACTCTTGTTTTCTAGCTCCAGTTATAGATGAAGATAAGGGAGTCCAGGATTGGGAATTATTTTGGAGAACTCATCCATGATTTCTGCCACAGGAATGATTGCCTAACAGCACTGAAGACCCGGTTGAGGCTGGAAATCATAAATCTGTGGTGGAGTCAACCAGCAAAGAATCACTCACTTGGCAGGAAAATTGGTTAACTGGAAAAAACGACACGTTATACCAAATTTCACTGATTCTGCTAGCTTGGAAGAACTACAAGCCAACTTTTCCTAGCAAACAGGGTAGTAAAGCCAACCACATAGACAGTTCAGGAAAACTGCTGAGACAATGCTACTATCTCATTTCCAGAAAAACTAAGAACCTTTGTCAATAAATTTCTAAACTAAAACCCATAGTCTGTGACATATACCAGCACTAATAGTGATTATCTTCCCAGAGAAGCTTATTCGTCTAGTTTTCAAGACTACTAACAAAGTTTCAGTAGTTTCTAGATAATCTCTAAAAATTGGTCCATATTCTGTTCAGTCCGTCTTTAAAAGGAACTCCTTAGTGTCCAGGTTCTGAACGTTTCTGCATTGTCATCAAAACACAATTTTTTTTCTTACATAAGCACCTAGAACAGGGCCATATATGTGTGTGTGTTTAATTAAATTTTGTATGGTTGTATAGTACAAATATCACATTGCTGTGCTCCTAGGATCCACAGTGACAGATCTGAAATATGTACAAATTCAACTCGAAGAGCCTTGAAGAGAAAGGTAGATCTTCACAGGTGTTCTCAAGGAGCAGCTAAGAGAATTTACTGTACATAACACACCTCGGGGTTTCCTCAGCCCCACATCACATGGCATCTGCTATCCCCACTATTTTCTTCCCCTCTCTCCTGCCTATTCAGGAGAGACATCTTGTGTACTTATGTAGATTCATTCACTCCCTTTCCAGGCTCCTGTAGGTCTGAAGTTTGACACATGTCTCCACCAGTACATCAAAAGTCCCATCCATCTTCCTGAGCAGAAAAGGACCTTCCTTCTTTTTCTAATAGTTATTTTCTTTATTTGGCTACAGAGAGTCTTGGTTGTGAAATGTGGGGTCTTTAAGTTGCAGCTTGAGAACACTTAGTTGCAGCTTGTGGGATCTAGTTCCCCGACCAGGGATCAAACCTGGGCTCCCTGCTTTGGGAGCTTGGAGTCCTATCCACTGGACCATCAGGGAAGTTCCAGGACCTGCCTTCTTAAACAAATGTGTAGGGGGGCTGACAACGGCCAAACCATAACAACACCAGGCTCTAGGCAAGTGCTTAATATAACTTCATAGAAAGTGCCAGCAACTTCCCATCTTTAACATAAACAATACAAGTATTTCAGAAAAAATATATTGAGAATTTATTTTCATATGACACCATGGCAAAAGAATAAACATCACAAATTTCACAGATCTTCAATGTGAAACAGAAGAGAGAAAGGATAAGAGGAAGATAATGACTAAAATGATATGAAGCAAGAACAGTATTTACATTTTCACTGGAAAGGGACTGCTAGAAACGTGAATTTTAAACTCCTGACCAAAAGAAATACATGTTCTATTAAAAAATGAAATAGCTTCCATTTTCAATGTGTAAGAAAAACTATGCTTCATACACATATGAACTAATGAAGTTACTTTGTACTTTGTGGTTATCCTTAGATATATTAATAGCCAACAAGTAAAAGGAAATGATGTCTATATCAAAACAAGGAAATGATTAGTGTAATTATTAAGATAACCAACAAGTCCATTAATTTCTTCTTTCAATCTCTATGATGCTTATTAACAACCATGGGTAACAAATGACGTATAATTGATACACAGTGTTGTAATTTCAGGTGTATAGCGCAGAGACTTGTTTATGTAGTGGTGCATCTATCCATACCCTGAAACAAAAGTGCTAGCTACTCAGTCACATCCAACTCTTTGCGACCCCGTGGACTGTAGCCTGCCAGGCTCCTCTGTCCATGGAATTCTCCAGGCAAGGATACTGGGATGGGTAGTGATTCCCTTCTCCAGGGGATCTTCCTGACCCAGGGATCAAACCCAGGTCTCACACATTGCAAGCAGATTTTTTACTGCCTGAGCCAGTCGCGAAGCCACACTCATATATATATGGATATATATACACTACACACATACACTCTTTTTCAGATTCTTTTCCCTTAGAAACGATTAGAAGATATTGAGGCTAGTTCCCGGTGCTGTTGGTTATCCCTGCTGGTCATCTATTTCATATATAATCGTGTGTCACTATACCTGCTTATACTACACGTGACTGTGACTTATCTTCTTTTTTCTCTCTTTGCTCTTCTTTCCTCATAGCTCACCTATTTCCACTTTTCTCTATACTTTCATTTGAAAATCTGGCTGTTTATAGACAGAATCCACCTTTTCACTCAATGAAAAGTGTGAAAGGTAAATAATCACAATGAATGCAATGTATTCCTAACATTTGTCTTCCCACTCAATTTACTTCTTGCCCTTTGCCCAGAATTTGTCCCATTGGCAACAGATCTTTTTTAGGGGGTCTCCTAAAACTCCTCACAGGCTGGAGAGGACCCCCAGTCCTTCCTGGCAATCCTTCCCTATTTCCTTAATTTACTCCCCAATCTCGACAAGGAGGTCACTTGTTACGCTTTCTCTTCTGACATTCAGCACATCCTCCTCCACCTCAGCTGAATGAAAGTGAAAGTGAAGTCGCTCAGTCGTATCCGACTCTTTGCAACCCCATGGACTGTAGCCTGCCAGGCTCCTCTGTCCATGGGATTTTCCAGACAAGAGTACCGGAGTGGGTTGCCATTTCCTTCTCCAGGGCTGAATACCTCACCTCTAATTTTACTGAGAAAATAAAAGCAATACAAATAGACCGGCCTGGTCTCCCACCACTAAATACACCATCTTACCCCTGTCCATAACCTTGTCCTCTCAGTTTGCTCTCTTTTCTGAGTTCTGGGCTACTCCTTTTGACAGTCTTGCAAGTCACTAATTTTCCTTTTGACTGTATTGGAATTCGAATCTAATACATTTGTACTCCAATGACTGTATTTTTTATTAATTAATGTTAATTGGAGTATAGTTGCTTTACAATGTTGTGTTAGCTTGTACAGTACAGCAAAATGAATCAGCCATACATATACATATATCCCCTCCCTTTTAGAGTCAACAACTGTATTTTTTATGTACAAATTTTTGATCATCTCTTTCATGTTTCATCTTTGTTCATTTTTATTCCATAATCTCTTATTCTTTTTGGTAAAAGTTATGCCTTTAATTCTTTGATTGTTTCAATCATATTTATATTAAAATCTTATCAAACTACTCCAGAGATGAAACTGATTTTTATCTGTAGTCAACTCACATTCTAATTTGGTTTTGTTGGCCTTCTTTCTCAGCATTAAACCCATCCACATGTTTTGGAATTTGAGGTTACGGGCTCATGTTGAAGCATTTGAAAGCTTTTAACATTTTTCTATCCCTCCCCATGCCTTCAACCATGAGTTCACCAGTCTCTGTCAGCAGACCCTTGATCAAAAGCCAAGTCTTTAGTAGTAACTTGGAATTCCTGACCCAAGGTAATATTATAGATTCTGCAGACCTGGTCACAGGGCAGTTAGGCAGCTTGGCTCAATTTTTTATTGTATCTGGGTACCCCCATCTCCCTAGTTCTGTAGCTTTATAAAAGCCACCTTTCCAAGTGGAAGTTATCTAGAGTTTTGATCTTTTTCAGTCTTTTTACTTAATATAAATATATAAAAAATTTTTTATATTTTCTCACTCCTGAGAGGGGAGTTTTTAAGCTATAAAGTTGAATCTGATTTTTCATGGAGCAGTTTTAGTGTCCGCTATGCCTCCGGCCAGGGCTCTGTGCTTTCTGGATTTCCTATGAAGTTTGTGGCTTCAGCCTCCTTGCTTTGACATTTTTGCTCTATTTCCACCTAGGAGATGTTTGTCTTATTTTTTTTTTTAACCAGAATTTATATTGATTGTTTTCTCTCTTTAGGTTTGATATATTGTTGCCATCTATTTGGTGCAAAGTAGGTTATCAAAGCTTCAGTTTAGTGAACTGTCTTGACTAAAAGCTGTACCTGTAAACTCTTGTTTCCATCAAAAGCCAGTCTCCTCACACACAGCATTTCATCTGCCCTGCCTTCTTTATTTTATTTATTTATTTTTTCGACCGAACTACGTGGCAATTCTCCCATCAGGGGTCAAACAGGAGCCCTTGGTAGTGAGAGTTCAGAGTCCTAACCAAGGTACCATCAGAGAATTCCCACTCTTATCTTCTTAGGACTTCACTACTGCAATTATTTCCCCTCTGCTCCTTTTAACATCAAAAT